AGTTAACTCAGAAAGATCAATTGGAGAAAAAGAGTCTAACTTAACATCAATGGTACTAAGAGTAGCTGTAGAAACCATCGCAGGTTGCTACATATGGCCTGGAACTAATCAGTTTTAATAATAACTTGTTCAATCTATCAGGGATCATGTACAAAAGCAGTCTTCTCTAAGATGTCAGTATTAAAATCCAGACTCAAACCAGGAGCTCGTTGTTCAAGAGCTTTAACCTTTTTTCTTATAAGTTACTCACCCTGAAATTTTAGTTGCCCACTCAAACCTAGCATGCTATGTCAAAACTCACCGATCCCAAAGAGTTGGCAGTTCTTCCTGTAGACCAGTATTCAACTCATCAAACACCTTCTGTGCCTTTTTGAGCTCCTCCTCTGCCTACAGACAAAGTTCATGATTAAATCAACTACAAAACACCTGCACAGATACAACAGCTGCACAGGTAACAGGAAACAGCTGATCCTTTATCTTGTGAATGTCCGTCTACACATGAAATGACTCACTTTGATCATCTTGCGGTCATTCTTCATCCCAGACGTCTGCATGGTTTCCATGTGGTGTCGGGCACTGTCATAGTCAATGAGTTTGCGGCTTCTTTTGGCGACACGGGTCTGAAACGAAAAGAAGTTGAGCTTTCATGACATGCATCCATTTCAGAAAATCATTCCCTAACCAAACTGTTGATTGCCTTGAGATCTGGAAACTGCTGCAGGTATGCATCCAGATTTAGCAGTGTCGAGTCCACCAGCTTGTTGTGGAAGTCTTCCCACAATGCATCACAGTCCTGCAGAAAATAGAAACCTAGGTTTATGGTACATATTTCAGGTGGATTTTGGTGTTCTTCTGTACTCTGGGATGTTTTTATGACTCTGACCTTCCCGATGGTCAGGACGTCATCCTTTCCATGCCAGTCGGGTTCATAGACTTCGTGCAGAGACTGAGTCAGGTTGATGGATGCTTGCTGCATCCCTGCCAATGACAGTACAATTTCAGCTGGTGGTCACAATGGCAACATTTAACTTTGCTACTCACTGCGTATAGAAGATAAGCTTTTCTCTATCGTCCTATCCGGAAATTTTAAATAGTGAGGTCAGAGCTCTGCCCACCTGCGCCATCTAACTGAAACCTTTTCTGTGAGGCTATGTTAGTTTACTCAGGAGTTGTAGTTCAATTTAATTCAGTTCCATTTTAATTATACAGCACCAAATCATAACAGTCACCAATTATTACTTCCAGGCTGGACGACTGTAATTCATTATTATCAGGAAGTCCTAAAAACTCCCTGAAAAGCCTTCAGTTAATCCAAAATGCTGCAGCAAGAGTCCTGACAGGGACTAGAAAGATAGAGCAGATTTCTCCTGGTTTGGCTTCCTGTTAAATCCTGAATTGAATTCAAAATCCTGCTCCTCACATACAAGGTCTCAAATAATCAGGCCCCATCTTATCTCAATGACCTTGTAGTACCATATCACCCTATTAGAGCACTTCGCTCTCGCTCTGCAGGCCTACTTGTTGTTC